ACTTGTGATGGTGCCAAGTTCTCCACCTGATTGGTATTTTAACACAACGGAGCAAGGAGACAGCAGTATAACCGGTTAATCCAAAAGAAGTCAGAAAAAGAGGATCAAAGGGAACAAAGATAAACTGGGACAAAAAGAAAGAGCAAGATGACAATTAGAAAATGACAAATTTAAACCTGTCCATAGTAGTAGTCACATTAACTATAAATAGGCTAATCTCTGAATTAAAGGTAGAAAGACTCAGATTATATTTAAAAAGGTATGGATCCAAATGTACACAGTCTGTAAGAAATGCACTTTATAAGACAAAAGTTAAAAATAAAGGGATAAAAAGACTTACCATATGAACATTTTTTTTAAAAGGTGGAATTGCCATATTACTGTCTCAAAAAGTATTATCAGGTCAAAGAATGTCATCAGAAATAAGGAAGACCATTTCATAACGCTAAAGGGGCCAATTCATGAAGAAGACTTAATAGCCTTCAATGTCTGGGCATCTACTAACAAAGCTCCAAATACATAGAAGAATATACATAGAAACAAAAAGTAGAACAAGGAGAAACATATCCAAAATCACAGTTAGAGACTTTCATATGCCTTTCTCAGTCAGTGATAGAAAATCAGTAAGGAGAGAGAGTACAGGAACAGCACTAGCGAACAACCTGACCTGACTGACACAGTCGGTAAGTCACGAAGGGAGAAAAGATGCAGTTCTCAGAGGCTTGGACTGGTCCGGTCTCGGCAGTCCAGTGTGAGAGTTTGTGCCGGCAGCAGTGGTGTCTCGGAGGAGGACAGAGGTGGGGGAGCAGGAGGGCTAAAGCAGTGGTGTGGGTGGGAAAATGAAGGGAAGGGGATGTCAGTGGCTGAGGGCCATCCATAGAATCCCTTCTTGAGGTTTCGTAGTACACAGAACAATTACTCCTGGTTGGTGGACCACGGCTCACTGAATGACTCGACTCCAAAGTGCAGGTCCTTGGGGAAGGTTTAACCGGAGGGAGTGAAAAGTTTAGACCTAGTGCTGGACTCCGGCAAGTGTTTTCACCACCTTAGGCTCAGTTTCTCGGCCTGTAACTCAGGGATTCAGTCACTCAATTATTCAACCGTTCAACGAACAATTTGTTAGGTTTTGGCAACACATTAGGTCCTGTTCCAGGTACTGTGACCGAGAGGATAGATGTCTCTTTTGACAAGGAGTCCGCGGTCTAGTAAAAAAGACAGACAATAAACATATGAACAAAAAAATACCTGATACCTGAGATGCTGATAAGAGCACCGATAACACAGAATGCAGAGGAGAGAGGGAGAAGACATGACACACAGGTGGCCCAGCAAGGCATCCTGATCAATGCCCAGACTGCAAAAGCCAAGGAGGGCCTGTGGACCTCTGGAGGGGGCAGCAAGCAGAGGTGAGCAGGGGCAAGGGTCCTGGGGAGGGACTGTGGGTAGAGTCTCAGGAGCCCAAGGAGGCCAGTGGTGGAGGTAGGGCCTCCTCACTGGAAATGGCATTGACCGCTACTGTGAATGAGAAGTCATTCATCCGAGGGTTTCCAGGATTCCAAGGGCTAGGACCAGGCTCATGTTAAAAAACAAAACGAAAAAGAAACTTATCCTGGCTCCAGAGTGAGAAATAGATCACAGAAGGGCAAAGGAAGAAGCAGGGGACAGCTTATAGGACGTAAGCGATAGCCAAGGGCAAAGGGATAGAGGCAGGAGATCAGCAGACCGAAGAGAATATCAGAGACAGCCCACACTCGGTGTGAGCATCTGGGCAAAGGAAGGATCATTTGTTAGGGTAATTCCTGATCCCCGTGACGAAATGAGGAGGTGGATGTGAAAGTGCTTCCTGAGCAGGACAGCACCAGGTGGATGTAAAAGATGGAAAACGAGAAAGCTACCTCTAAGTTGCTCATTCTCAGAAGTGGTCAGATAATAATGTTTTTAGGCCAAAAAAAGCAGTGTTGATTTTTCTCACTGACATTTTCCAAGACAAGAAAAGTATTCAGAATGGCTCACCGCTCATTCAAGGGGCCTCCATACATACTGCCCAAGAAGAATTCACAGCAATTCTGACTTTCCTTGCAGCTGGTCAAGGGGGTACAATTTATAATTCTAGCTGGACTTCTTCAAACATTTCTTTCTCCCTCCCTTCTCTAAGTTGTGACATTGCCCTGATATTTTCCTTCTCCTTCCCCACCCAATGGGACTAAAAAAACTACTTTAAATTTAAATGAAAAAATGTTGTCTCTAGACATTTTTATTTTCCCTGAATCATTCCTTCTGTAGCTAAAGTTGTTTGCCCCTGAATTAGGCCACCTTGGGTCTGACTGTGCTGTGAAGGTACCTACTGTTCACTTTTGCAGCTGTTCTGGGCTCTCCTGGTATATTTCCTGGCAAGGGTAATTCAAATTTTTTCCTTTCTAATTATTTCTCCCTAGTCTGCTGATGCCCATTTTCTGGTTGGTATTTATTTATTTCTATATGCGTGTGATTTATCCTCATTACATTCATGTTGGGGCCATGTACGTATCGCATCTCGATCTTTTTTCTGCCCGCCCCCAGCCCTCCCTCCTCCCCTTTCCCACAGGCTTTGTGGACACGGTGAGGGTAACTGTTAAATGACTATTTAGTGCTACCAAACAGCTATGGAACTTGTCAGAAATTAGCTACATATTTCTTCATTTGCTTGTAGGGTCAAGGTAGCATGAAATATGTTAATGATTTTACTAGTGAATCAACAGAAGAAAATCCTGAATCTGGGTCAGTTAGTTTAGTTTTCAGCAGAGTGAATGAAGAGAATGAGGGAAGATGGAATTTGCCCAGTGTGGGAAATAACGCCATTGCCCAGTGGCCGCTGCAAGGAATAAATGAGCGAGTGTTTGCGAGCTGTTACTCTCGTGCTTCAGAGGGGCTGAGCATGTGGACCGAGGTATCCCTTGGGAGAACATTTAAAAAAGCAGTTTGGAAGATAACTGTACTTTTGTTTCGGTCAAATGCCCACTCTTTAATCAGGGAAATCATTTTCTTGCTTGCTTCTGTTTTACTTTTTTCTACTCTTTTTTAATTGGTTATACAGAGTCATGAGTTTCATTTTGTTAGACTGTACATGTACGTAATGCATTTTGATTGTTTTCATTCCCCTATTACCCAACTTGCCCCACCCTCCCTGCCAGTTTCATGTTTTGGGGTGTGGGGTTCAATGCCTATATGCAATATATTTTGCTCATTTTCTTACCCTATTCCTACCATTCTGTCTTCTGCGTGCCACCTCTGCCTGATTTCCCTCTCTTCCTCCCTCCACCCTGCTCATTCTTGTCCACATTTCTTCAGAAAATGCTTCCCCAGTATTTATGAGTCAGTATCTTGCTAAAGATGTAGGATCTTCGCTGGTACACTATAGGAACCCATCAGAATTCTCTGAATCTAGGCTGTTTACCCTTGAGGCAAAAACATACAGTGTTAGGGAAGAATGTCATTACTATTTTTGGGATATATGCCAAGAGTATGATAAGGAGCACTGAGGCAAAGATTTCCTCACTGAAGGCTGAAAAGGACTCAGAGCGTACTTAGGGCCTCACCAACTCCCCAGTAGCCTTCTCAACCATAATCCCATCTCAGGCCCAGGGGGTAACTTGACTCTCAGACAGTGCATTGTAAATTCTACAAGTCCATGTTCAGTACATGGTTTCTAGTGCACGGGTGGCCTCTGCTTCCTCTGGAACACCCGCTGCCTGAACCACTCTGGTGAGCTGATAGGTAGGTCACTGTCTTCCCTGGAACCTTGGCACTGGATTGCTCCACTGGCCTCAGATGTCCCTCTGGGAGGCCCTGTTCTCTGCTCTCAGACTGTGTGATGCTGTGGTCTGCTCAGCCACTGGTATGGTCCAGTTTCCATCCTGGTCATGCCCACCTGGACTTTTCATGGGCTTCCGTTTAAACTGGCCCCAAACCCTGCTTAGGCCATGATAATGGGTTTCTTAATTCTCTTCTAGAACATTTAGCCAATTCTCAGTTTCCCTGGTATTGTTAACACTCTAAGCCAGTGCTACAGCACTTTCATCGTCTGGTGACCAGAGGGGCCAGGCAGAATGATAGCTGGTTGGCAAAGGACACTGGTAGAATACTTGAAAAACAGCTGGTTAAACATTATCTTACTCAGAGTTACATGGGCCACATTAAGGGCCACATTTTCTGACATTGTGAGGTCCAATGATTTAGTTTAATAGGCCATGGCTCAGCACATATCCAACCATCGATAAACACATTTTGTACAGATCATGGTTTGATCTATAAAGTAAATCTCTGTTAATTCTTTTTGCCTTAGTTGAAATTATTTCATGGGGCATTCCTCTCAAACCTTAAGATGATGAAGATGATCCCAATTTTCAATTTTTTTGGACATTCACTTAAATGAGAGACTAAACCCTAAAATACCAAGTTGACTGTTTGAAGGTGGCTATGGGCACTGCCCATACCTCATGGAGGTGGTGGCTGATGAAGGTACAAGAAAACCATGCACAGGGTTCAGAACAACCTGTGGGCCTCTGTCTAGGCACATGGGACTCTAAAGCCTCCCCACACTGGAATACCTTTGCTTCCTGCAAGGTTTGGATCGTACTGGAAATTCAGAGGGGTGCGGGGAGAGAAGGAGGAGGAGGAGAGAGAAGCAGACGGAAGAAGGAGGACATTATTTTCTTGATAGTGAAAATGCAAATATTGTAATTGTAAGAATGGAGAAAGCTGCTAGCAACTATGGAAGCCAGCTATTTTTATAATGTCTCAAAAACTCTTTATGCTTCCTTCCACATCATTCTGTGAAGGTCAGTTTTGTTTCTGTTCTATTAATTTAATTTAACTTCTTTTTGCAGGGTTGGAGATTGAACCCAGGGCTATGCAAGATCTCCACCAGTGAGCTGAAGCCCCAACCCCAGCCCGTTTTCACTTTGTCCTGAGAAAAGAATGGAGTTGTGTCCTCAATGGCCACTCCAGGAAGAAACACTTACCCAGAATGCTTCATGTTTTGAGGTTTATCCATTCGGACAGCAAGTTTGATTTTGAGATCCTGATCTGGGCAATTTTTGGAAACTGTCATTTTGTGCCATTCAGATTGTTTGGGGCTATTCGGGGTGGGATGGAGAATAACCTGTAGGGGAAAAGAAAAAACTTTTTAGCTGGGAAATAGCAGCATCACCATGGACATGGTTTTACGATTAGAGACTGGATACTAAGATGTGGCAGTACAGGTCCTCTGCTATGGCCCCACCTTCTCACCATGGCTGGCTCACCACCGTAGCCACTGTAAGGACAGAAATGACATTCTCTTTTCTCTCTTGCTGGCTAACTTTATAAAAGGAAGGATCACTATTTCTGTGTGTCTGCTTTGACTATTCGAAAACTCAGAAGTACTAAAGAAACCCAGAACTGAGAACATTATTCTCATCAAATAAGATGTGTAAAAGAGAGATACTCTCACATAGTAGAGAATACTTTTCGTCTGCTCTTTCGCCCTATTCTTTATGATTTCGTTCACTATTTCAAGAGGAGAAATTTCTCAAAGGCTGCAAGAGACAATGGAAGGGATCTTATCAGATGAATGAGGAATGGAGGGCTACACAAGGAAGGGACTTGCTTAGGGTCATGAACGTCAGCTGGATTCAATTGGACCGGTAATCTTGTCCCACAGCACCCAACTTGGTCTGGCATGGAAGGGGGCAGACTTAGCTTGGAAAAGCAGGAGCTCTAGGTCAGCATGGTGCTTTCATTTGGGTCTCCTGCTTCCATTCTTATCTTACACGTTGGGCTGAAACAAGAAGTAGATGGCTCAGACAATCCACTTCTCATTTTGTGTTGAAAGAGTGCACGCTCCAAGCCATGTGGAATGCAAAACAGGCAGGAATGAAAGTTGGGAGATCCCATAAAGGAACATGGACTAAACCTTGGCACTAAAAAGGTGGGCTTCTCAGATCTGCTTCCATGAGGGTAGCATGCCTGCTATGCTTCATTTTGCTCTTGTTTTCAAAATATCTGCTTTCTCTAGGAACAAGGAGGGCAAGCTCCTTCCCTGGGCTTCTAGCCACAACCAAGGGGTCCAGGTGTGGACCTTCTGCCCTTCCAGGTGCAGCACCACTGCAGCTATGAACAGTTGGCCCTGCTTGGAGGATGGACACATACATGGTAGGATCCAAATATACAGCAAATCTTTAAATTTACAAAAGATCATTACAGTAAAAGACACATTGCCATTAATCCACCTCAAAATACTCCCCCTTGACCCTTATCCCCTTGATCCGGGCACTTTCGGCAGCAGTTCTGGAAGGCCTCTTTCCGATATCTCTCTAGTTGTACTGTCACAGCTGCTGCGGTGTCCTCAATCAGTTAAAAACATTTACCTTTCATAGGCACTTTGACTTTCGGGATGGCGACAGATCTGATGAGCAGTGTGGATGAGGATACACCGTAATATTTTTGCTTGACAGAAGTTGCCGTAAAGGTTTGAATCAACTCAGGACACTGAGGAGCCTGACAGTACAACTAAAGGCAGACATGAAAGAAAGGAAGGAAGTGGCAAGAACGGTGGTATAAGAGCATTTGACAGGAGGAGAAGGTTTTGAGGGGGAGGAATGGCAATGTGTCTCTTACCGTAACATACCTTTAAAAGTTTAAACGCACACTATAGTTTAAATCAGATTGTGTACAGCTTTCCTCCTGCCCGTGGGAGAACTCTGAGAGTAGAGGCTATGACAGAAACAGCCAAAATTCAGCCTCATTAGTGCTGCCTTTTCACATCTTTCATTCTGGGCTCTACCCCTCCCCCACCAACTTTTACCACAAACTTCTTTCTGTATAATGAAGAAAATTTATACTGTAGATTCTTGCTAAACACACAAGTCCAGTTTTCCAATGTTGGGACATACCTGGAATAGAAGGTCTGAATTTTGAGACCAGTGGCTGCAAAAGATTTTTGACCATGTTCTACTTAGGAAAATACTTTGGAGCAATTAGCTCCATATCTATATGCTGATACCTTTTATTTGCTTACTTTGTATTAATCTATTACTGCATATATATTATATATATATATATATACAGAAGTTTTTTGAGACCAGTGGCTGCAAAAGATTTTTGACCATGTTCTACTTAGGAAAATACTTTGGAGCAATTAGCTCCATATCTATATGCTGATACCTTTTATTTGCTTACTTTGTATTAATCTATTACTGCATATATATTATATATATATATATATATACAGAAGTTTAAAATGGGCTAAGGATAAAGGAAAAACTCCAAATTTTCTAGTGTACTCAGCCATTCATATTTCTGGGTTGACTTGATGAGATTCAGCAGCTAAAGATTGAAAATGTTTGGGGAAAAAAATAATCGTAACTGAACAGAGCTTTTGTGTGCCATTGTTCCCTAAAACATACAGTACAGCAACTGTCCACATAGTATTTATATTCTATTAGGTAATATAAATACTCCAGAGATGATTTAAGTACCCTGCAGGATGTGCCCAGGTTATATGCAAATACTATATTATTTTATAAAAGGAAAATCAACATCTGTAGGAAGTCCTGGAACCAACACCCTGTGGGTACCAAGTGAGGACTGTGAAATGTAATACTACTAGTGTACTTTAAGACCTCATAAGCCATCACCTTGTGATACCTTATCATATGAAGTCCCTTATTAATGATATTGGATATACATTCATAGTCCAGGAATCTTCTAAATAATTCAAGCCATCCATGTGATCACTTTTCCCGTCTGATGACATTCATGTTTTTTCTCATGACACGATAGGTGAGGTGTGGACGCCAACATTTTCATGTTTGCTTCCAATCAGAGATCTCTCATAATAGTCTTTTTAGGCATTTTGTTCATTCTGTGAGGGTTAACTTTGTTCGAACTGTGCTGCAACATGTATGAATGGTAAGCTGGACATGTCATAGAATGAAGAGGGAAGTGAATGAGTGAGTCAGGGTGTCCCTGGTTGTGGGAACCCTGTGGCTTCCTTAAGCGGTGGGAATTGCATTCTATGTCCTGAGGACCGACACTTTGGAGTTGGAGGGGTGGGAGCTGCTGATCCCAGTGAAGTAGGCCCTTTGGCCTGAACCAGTCCAGCCCAAGAGAGCTAGCAGCCGACAGGTTGAGATGTGTGGGAAACAGTGAGAGCCTGGCCAGGTCCCGCACCGCAGCAGGAGCCCTGGGCTTCCTTCTGCTCTGCCCACATGGCAAAGGCAAGGTGAAAGAGTCCCTCTGGGCACCCGGAGCTTGTTAAGAGTCCTCCCATCATATGGACTCAGGACACATTTTCCACTGGCAACCTGGTATCCATTCATGATGCAAATGGCACAGCTCATTACCGGCTCTCCCTCAAAGACTTGGCCCCCCTCCAGCGGTCACTCTCCAGGGAGACATCCCCTCCAGAGTGGACAGAGACAAGAGGTCATCAAATTCTCTTCCCTCTTCATTTCAGCATTCCCACCACGCCATGGGCCAACAAATCCTAAGTACCTGTCAAGCCTGTTGAGGGTGAGCCCCAGGCTGGCTCACACACCCCAACTAGACGTTCCGGGCTGCTCATCAGGCACTCTGTCATCTCCCCGAGCCCCATGTGCACTGCGCTTTGATGTGGGGATGCAATCAGCCACTCTCCAGGCAGCACAGCTTCTCCCAGGCACTGGGCCCTGGGGCGGCCTGTGCCTGCTGATCTCCAGCACTGGTCTCCTCGCTCTGACTGTCTTGCACCCTTACCCGGGAAGGCACCCCTGCCACAGCCTGGAGTGTTGCGTGCTTTCTTCCCAGGTGTCCTCTCTCCAGCAAAGCACTTACCACACTGTACAGCTGTATCTAGTTTTTCTGTCTGTGCCCCTTAAGCTTTGTGGTTAAAAGTCTTTTCCTGTCTTTATTCCTGTTTGCTCTGTGTACTATTGAATGGAGCAGCAGACCTGCAATTGTATTTGTTGAATAAAATCTGATAATATTGCTGTGGTGGCCCGCACACAGTATGGGGAAAACAAGTACCCCTTTAAGCCTTTTGTGGAAGTGAAATTTGGCACATTGGGAAAATCTGGCACTATCTGTCAAAATTCAAATTGTGGTCAGCAAAATTTTTATTTTGAAATTTATTTATAGGTCTATAAGCCTATGCAAGAAATAAGTTTAAGACTATCCACCAAAGCATTATTTATACAGCCAAGGATGAAACAGTGTAAAGATGCATCAACAGAGGGCTTGTTAAACAACACATATCAACAAAACAGAATAGCATGCACCCATGTAAAGAGGTCACATGTCAGCATGTACCACAATAGACCAATTTCTAAATACACTGATATTTCAAGCAATGCGTACAGTATGTGTACAATAACTTCTACCTGTGTTTAAAAAATATAAATTGTATGTGTTTTCCTTGTGTGTGCATAGAATATCTTTGGAAGGATATACCATACATTGCAAACAAGATTTCTCACTGCAAAGAAACATTAGGTGAGGGTGAAAGGGAATCATTTGTTTCCACTATTTATCATTTTAATTTTTTAATAATGTATATGGATTAGTTTTAAAGCTGCTAACAAAAATGAAACAATACAAAAGAAACAAACTAAAAAGTCTGAAGGGGTGAACAGAAGCCCAGGATTCTGAACTCAGCCCCGCTGAGCTTGGCAGGGCTGGCACACAGAAGTACGCTCCTGTGGGCTCACAGAAGGCCTTGCCTCACAAAGAGCACTGCCGGTTCCCTGGGGTGGCTGTGAGGTGCTGCCAGCAGAGGGCGCCCAGCCAGCACCAGGCAGGTGGCAGGCCTGCGGCTCTTCTGCAGCGAGTCAAGAGTGAACTCCCTGGACTCATTCGGAAAGTAAAGGCACGGTGAGGGACTCTGGCCAGCCATGGCCTTCAGCACACAGCAGTGCCTCCAGCTGTGTCTTTTCCTAGGCATAGTGGGGCCCAGAGAGAAAAGGCCAGCATTCCTGGCAAGTTGCTTATCCTGTGTCTCTGGGCCTCAGTGTGCCCTGCTGTACAAATGAGGTCAGAAGCGCGGCCCTTGTAGAAAGTCACTGGAGGGCTGTGCTAAAGTCCTCAGGACAGCGGCCTGGCCAAGGGTGAGCAGAGACCACCCCGGCCCTAAACTCAGCGGATGGCTGTACGCTAGGCTCTTACTAGTCAGTATTCTCATCCATACAACAGAGGATTTGAAGAGCCCATAGGCTTCAGCTCTTCTGAGTGGAAACCGCTTTGAGGAGCCAGGGACTGCTTTGGACCAGCTGGTCTAGAAAAACACCTCTGCATCCACTGTACTGTCGCACCTGCAGTTTCCAGGACCCATCTGGGCACCCAGGCTGAGCAGCCCTGGACCGAACGGCCACACTTCCCCTTTCTCACACTAGTGTGCCAGGTCTTTGAAACTCGCAGGATCCTTGACATCTGCTCTTGTGGAAAGAGAAACAGCCAAGAGACATAAAAGGCAGGCTACCTCCCCGCTCTGTGCGTCTCTGTGCCTAGGCACAGGAATGAATACCCGTCATTTCTCAACAAAAACAAGTAAGCCTTTCTTTCCCACTCCCCGTTCTGGGGAGGGAGTGTTATTTTTCTTATAGCTTTATTTAATACTTGACTCACCACTCTTTGTGGTCTGTGTCCTAGTAACATGATTCCAGGGGAAACTTATGAAAGCCAGACCGGGAGAGTGGAAAAATATAAGCGGGGAAAAAGAAAAGCACAGAAATGGAGTGTTGGGGGCATCATTAGGTGTGTGTACTGTGTCCGTCTGGGGTGGCGCCTCATGATGACAGAGTAAACATAAATACGGGTTGAGTGTCTTGGCTAAAGTCACACAGCTTCAGGATGGATTATTCCTCCGACCAGTTTTATTTAAACCTGGTCAAAAGTCCCGTGGACTAAACTGCATCACCCCAATTTCGTGTGCTGAAGCTACGCATCTGGAGATGAAGTGTAGGCGGTAACTGAGGTTAAATGAGGTCACAGGGACGGGGCCTCACCTAATGGGACTACTGGCCTTATAACGAGAGAAGACACCTGCTATTTTCCACCACATGAGGACACGGACCCCAAGACAGAAACAGAACCTTTCTGACTCTTGATGTTAGACTTTCCAGATTCCAGAAATGTGGGAAATTACATTTGTATTGTTTAAGCCACCCAGGCTGTGGTATTTTGTTGGGGTTGCCCTAGCAGAGCTACACAGCTCTACAAACAAGCAGAGCCACTGAAAGTTTATATGCTGTGCTTTGGGTGTGGGGTGGTGAGCAAGAGTGTACGTTTCTACCCCCACGGAGAGCTTGTAGTCCCGTGGCAGTCCAATTCACAGTCATGGAGGACGGGAACAGAGGGCTGACAGTGCAGGAAGGAGGGTGGCATGGAAGGAAGGGCTCCCCAAAGAGCGGCAGTGACACAGGAGTCACCGATTGCCTTGGAGAGCCAGGAGGCAGGACAAGTTCAACAGGAGGAGAGCAAGCCCCAAGGTGGGGAGAATCAGGTTTGCTGGGGTGACTGCAATTTGGCCAGCCATGCGGTGGCTGGTGAGGGAAGCACTGTGGCAGCAAGTGAGGCTCAAGAGGCGGCCAGAAGCTGGAACACAGGAGACTCTGTGGGCGCTGCTCAGGACTGCGGGTTGTATCGCAGGCAGTGTCAGGTCGTGGAAGTAAATGAACCCAACAAGTAAATGAGTCAACAAGTGATTCAAGGTCTGAAAAGATTACTGGCTGTTTAATGCTGAGTGAAAAGCTGAGATGCAAGGAGAAACGTTTCTATTATCTCAATGGTTCTTAAAGAGGTCGGTCTCGCCACTCGAGGTGATTCAGAAATCTGAGGGCACTTGCATGGACAAAGTAACTGACAATGGTCTCTGCGGGCATTCAGTGGGTGTGCAGGGATGTTCAGTGTCCTTCAAGACCTGCCTGCCCTACATCCCGTCTAACTGCTGAAAATTCCCACTGTTGTTAGTGGAGGTAGAAAAGCTTATTTACAACGAATGCAGTCTATATCCTAACTCTGACCTATCAAAGTACTTTGCCACATTTCACGGGAAATCAAAGAAATTTTACCCAGAGTTGCCCATCGCTTCAGTAAGTCAGTTTATGGGTACTCTGATTAGGGATCCTTCAGCCCAGTGCCCTCCAGAGTGGCTGATGTAACTGTCACCTTCCAAGTGACTCTCACGTGGGGGCAGGTAGAGCACTGCTTCTTGAGATCTTTGGTATTTATGTTCTGAAGGTTTTTACGACTAAATTTTGCTTCTTTTTTTATTCTATTGTATTGACTTTTTATGTGGGTAGGTAGTCAAATTACCTAAGAGTTTCATCTCAAAATAGTCAAGGCCATTAGATCTTTGCTGTAAAAGGTGTTTGGGTCTGACAGTGTGGAGAATCCATAATCTATTTTCTATAGTGCACACTCTTGTTAGCTCAAGTTGATAGAAAGAACCTGTGGCTCAGAGAGGTTGGGGGATTTTCCAAGGTCGCACAAGGTCTCTCTAATGCAGAGAGAAGCCTTTTAGCTTGTGGCGATCTGTGTGCTGGATGCACACCTGGGAGATGCTCCTGAGTTTTTTTGATAACGCTTGCAGTGGGGAGCACTTACCCGCCCAAGCTCCTTGTCCTCCAAGGCCAGGACACCTGTGCTTTCTGTGAACAGCTTCACCTTCACGGCAGGAAGAGCATGAGTCGTGGAGAAGTCGCCCTGGGTGCCCCACCTGTGAACAGAGTCAGAGGGTTAGTGTGGACACGTCCTCCTCTACTGCAAACTGTCCCTTCTTCCCCAGCTGGAGTGAATGCAGGTACAATCCAAGCATCAAGAGCTGTCACATCCTCCTCCCAGCTCTCCAAAGTTGCCAGGGACAGAAAGTGTGAACTACCTTGTTAGGGAAACACCAGCCACATGCATGGCAGGTTGTTGGGTCTTCACACAGCACTTGGAGGAATCACTTGGAAGCAGCATGAAGTCAAGTTGGGGAGTTTTCCTACCTATAAACTGACTCAGACAAACAACTACTATTTTACTTCGTCCTTTGAATCTATAGTTTCTAAAAACTGCAGTTCTAGATTTTGAGACAAAGCTTCATTTGATTTGAGCCAACACGACTTTAAAACGAGACTTTGGCAGTAGAGGTGGGGAGGTGGGGCCCTGTTCCCACCATCTCAAAGGTGAGCTGGAGAGAGGGGTGTGTGGGGCTCCACCTGTCAAAGTCACAGAGGGACTAAACGGCAGACGGACGAGAGTGTGCCATTCCCTGCTCACCGTTTGCAGGTGTCTGAGTCCCAGACCTCCCCAGAAGGAGTCTGCTTTACCCAGTGTCATTGGGCAGCACGCAGGGCTCGGCTCCCATGAGCCTGGCGCGCCCTCGGATGTGGCCTGTTCTTTAGCCATCACCCCTCGCACAGAGGATTCAGCTCCTGCAGTCAGAGTGAACTCCTGGAAGTGGTGATGGGTGCAGTGAGCCCCTCCCCTTCCTCTCCTCCCTGGCACCTGTGCACGTGCTCAGGGCACGGTACCAGCACCCCTCACCTGCTTCTACTTCCCGGCCTCTTGATTCTGCCATGCAACCCTGTGGCACCCATGGTTCCCTGAGCCGGCAGTGTTTCTCCCTGACGGACCCTTCACTAGGCCAGCCACCTCTCCAAGCTCAGCCTAAACACCGCCTCTTCAGAGAATATGGCCCTTGGTCCCCCAGTCTAAACTGGGTTCCAGCATTAAGCTCTCTTTCTCACACCATCTCCTTTTGTACCCTAGCAATCACCGAGTTTGTAATAATTAATTTATCAGTCTCACTGTTTAACAGCAGAATTCCTTAATAATCTGTAAGCTCTGAGTTAAGGACTGTGTGTTTACTTTACATCGCATATTCAGAACTTATCACACAGCTTTCAAACATGGAAGACACAAAATAAATATTTGCTGAATAAACAAATGATGCTGAATACATGCTCTTCCACCAAACCAGAAAACAGCAGAGATACAGCTGTAACTACAGATGTTTTTCATTTTGCCTTATATGATCTATTTCCACACTGTAACATATTCGTTAAAATCAGATTTTAATGCTCTGTAATATTACATCTTATGGATTCATTATTATTTAACCATTGGTGTTACTGAAATTACACTGGATGCTGATTTTTAAAATTTCAACTTGGACACTTCCTTGGGATAGAGCCCTAGGTGGAAGAATCGTCATTCATCAACAAACATTTAGAGCTCTTACAAGTGGTGAGAACTGTGCTTGTACCTGTGACCCAAACACTCTTCCCCGAGGCAGTGACCATCCTGCCTTTTGAGACTGAGAGTACAGATCAAAAGTTTCCTTTCTTGTCCACACTAGGTATCACCATTCAGCTATTCTTCTGGCCTGTTTCCTCTCCGTTACTTTTGTAATTCCCTGATTGCCAGAGGGCTTGACATTTTTACCCAGTGCTTGTTGGCTGCTTTCTTTTATAAATTACAGAAATCTGCCTTCTAGTCACACTGTTGCACCCCATCAAGTGAATTCCATTAACTACACTAAAAGACACAGGGAATCATGGGAATGTTGGCAAGACGGCTCCAGGACAATGGAGATGAGGGGACCCAGACCTATGGGGATCTAAGTGCACAGAAACCCGAGAAACCCCAACAGTCACAACAGCCACAGGGAGTGGACGCAGCAGAAAGTCCTGACTGGCTGGAAGCACCTGCAGCATGGCCTTAAGAAAGGGACTAGCAAGGTTCTAGCAAGGACGGCGTGAGAGGTTTTGGACCAGAAATCCCTGGCTGGAATCCAGGCTTAGTCACATACACTGTGGGTTTTCCGGGAAGGTTGATTAACATCACTATGCCTCAATACAGCTATAAAATAAATCCATGTCACAGAGGAGCTGTAGAGTAAATAGCTGAAGGTTTGGAACATGAAAACAACCCAGCATATCTTGGCTGCCTTCCCTTCCCAAACTAAGGTCACGTGTTCTAGTAATGGTGATAATCACTTGGATTTGTGTTCTAGTAATGGTGATAATCATCACTCGGATTTGTGTCATTTACGCCCACCCCCCTTTCTGGGACTGAGGATGGAACCCAGACCTTCAGACTGAGCTACAACCTTAGCCTATTTTAATTTTTGAGACAGGGCCTCATTAATTTGTTAAATTGCCCTTGCCTGGGCTTGAATTTGTACTCTGCCACCCTCAGTCTCCCAGAGCCCATGTGGATTTATCAGCCCCCTCCTCAGTGCGTGAGGATGCAAAGGGCACTGGTGATCCTATTATGCGTGGTAAATAAGAAAAGCTGCTATGCTCATCATTTCCCAGTTGGGAAAACTGAGAAGAAACTCAAGATCTTCTCCATTTTATTCTAGTCAACTGTGACTAAAATGGACAAGAGCCCAAATCTCTTAATTCCCAATTTTTAGTTCTTGTTGCTATTATAATTATCAGTAATAAGCATTATTAGTGATCAGCAACATTGGCAAAAAAGTGAGCGTTAATGTATTTATAATTAATTGTGCTATTAATCTCTGAGTATTCATCATGCTTGGTCATGAAGATGAGAAAAATTTCTGCTGGAAACCAGGAGCTCATGAACAAAAAGCTTGAACACAGTGCTACAAAGAGGATGTGAGTGCAGTGATACTGACCTGGGGGCCTGGTTTGCAGGGACTTCTTGGCCTGCTCGCCAGTCACTAACTGCTAATAATGCGTGTGACAGGCAGTGCCAGCTGGATGGGATTCGAACCACCGGAGGTTGCCCTGACCACCAAGCCCCTGCAATTGGATATCGTGTTACTTTCTCTACCAGGTCTGCGTACCACTGTGCTTTTGGCTTCCCACCATAAGCTCTGGCTCACCTCAACTCGTGAGGTCACTACTGAACCCGCCTCATCCGTCAAACTTCAAAACAGCAACCAGCCCCAGCGGAGCAGGCAAGACAGCGCTCCAGTCTAACCTGGACTTCTGGGCCCAGTGCAAAACTCCTCGCTCAAAATCAAGAGAAAATATGGCACTGAAGGTCCTAAAATAGAAAGCATTGTCCTTTTCCTACTTCCTCTGTTCAAATGCGTGCTCTGTTGTTCCACTGGATTGTGGGAGCCCGGCCGTGGCCCTCTAGGAGTTTGACATTTAAAAGGAAACTTCTTCACCTCTACACTCAAGGCATTGATACAATCTGTAACATCCTAGGACTCTGCTTGTTAAACTTGTTGCTGCAACGGAAGAAACTCAAGGAGACAGCCAAAGACCTGATGTTCTTTGCAAAGAGTCAGAAAATCCGGTCTTTGCATAAAAGATACAAATAGTTGCTTGGTGCTTCCTGTTGATGTGAACCTATAAAAGGAGCTGTTTCTGTGAAATAAATCAGACTTCTCTTCGTCTCCGCTCAGGTTTGAGTGTTCTTTCCTTTCTCAATCCTCACTCCCCGACTCAGGCATGTTTGTGTTGTGACGGCTGGACCGCCACAAGTGGCGCCCGAACAGGGACCTGAGTATCGAGGGATTCAGTGAAGGACACCGCTGGATAAAGAATAAAAGGAGATCTCGTCAAAAAGAAAGAAGAGGACCTTCAAAAGGAAGGCAAAAGAGGAGCGGTGAGTTTTCTTGTAAATATTAAAAATGGGAGCAGGCAAGAGTGGCATGCTTTTTGTATATATGCTTAAAGATTTATTATGTGTCAGTGGTGCTAGAGTAGGGCATCAGCAATTGTGTAATTTAGTAGAATTTGTAGAAATAGTTCGTCCTTGGTTTCCTTTTCTTTGCTTCTGTGTCTTTCTTTTCCTGTTAATGTCTGAATTGGTA